GTGCGGTCGTTGTTGTGAGCGCACTGCTCTCTACGAAGTACGGACCCGGCGACCTGAGTCAGAGTCCCGATGAGTTAAGAGTCCCGATTCACGGGGCAACATCAAGCGGTAAACATTTCTCAGCCGGTCGCGGAAGAGCGCTCGTGGAACAAACGCGGACGTCCGGAATCACCGCCTCATTCGAGCCCCACACCATGATCGCTCCTCCTGGCTCTGCCCATCCCTCCTCGAAGACGGTCGGTGGCGCGGCGAGAATCAGAATGCGTAAATATATAAATGCGTTGTTAAAACCCGTCACTACCCGAACACAGCCAACTAGCAAGGGTTCATATTATTTGTGTCTTTCGGTGGAGTCACGTAGATTCATAGAAAAATAACAAAAAACTACGAAGTTTCGATCGCAACACAACAGCGGTCGTCATCAGAAAAAGTAAGGGTTGTCACGTAAATAGAACGTGGCCAATTCGTAACTAGTACAGCACAACAGTTGTGTGTTGGAGAGCCAAGCCACAACATTTACAATCTGAGTACGACGTTTCGCCAGTAATTACAACTGGCTTAATCAGGCGACAGCCATATCTTTTTATAACGACACATTTATATATTTACGCGATCTAACCCCAGAAAAACCCTTTAGTATGGATGATATTGGTCGCAAAAAACTACGTGTTAAGCTGGGAATCTGAATATTTATTTCTACTTGAATCCGATGAGCCACACAGCTCTATTTTTCCACAGACGTCCGGTCGTTCAGTCGTTCACAGACGTCCAACCATGCACCGCATCGGAGCATCAAGAGGCCGATGCGCTCTTCTTCTCCGTGGATGAATCATCGCGAGCACGTGGCCGCAGTGGCGCGCGCGACTGCGGCCACGTGACCCAGACGATGGACCCCACGGCCACTTGAGTCACCCGCCGTCGTCTGCGCTCCACCAACGTGGGAGACGCACCGGGAAAACAACAACACGCGGACCCTCTCCTGAAGCCCCATCGTCATGGCCAGCGGACCTCGGTATTGGCATTCGGCTCCAGCACGTATTGCCATCATACGCAAGAGTGGAATTAGCGGTGAATATTTCGAACCGGTCCAAGGTCTTTCCGTAGATAGTCGAGCGTGCAAACATCGATGGGGCCATTGACCGTGGAGACGGAGCGATGGAATCAACTCGTGGGGCAGTTACTGGGTGGATTAGCGCATCGCGTGATGGTCTTCGTCCAGCGGTGGATTGACCATGGCCGATGATGATAACGAAGAAGAGTCAATGACACGGTCAATATATTCACTTTTAATGGACACACACACACTAAGGTTATCCTTAAAACGTACACCAACAATAACTGTACTCGGTTCCTTCGGTAAAGTCACGTAAATAAATATACTCGCTTGTCTTGCGATCGAAACGTCGTGGGTTTTTTGCTTTTATTATTATCAATTTGTTTTAATTTCGAATTTTATTTTACTATTTCAATTCTGGGTGTTTTTTTGCTCTTATAATTTTTGTATTTCTATTTTTATTATTGTAATGTTTAATTAAATTGTATTATTTTTATTTATATTTTATTTTGTTTTCTATTTACGTGTCTTTACCGAAAGAACCAAGAATATGAATTCCTGCAGTCACGAAAGTTTTAAGTGTCAAAATTTATACTCGGTGACAGCGCTGACTATCCACTGCTGGATGGACGCCTCTCCACGCCGTGTCGGCCGTTGGGGTTTGACCATACTTCACCACGCTGGTCTAGAATCGAACTGAAGTCGCCGGGTTTATAGCGCAAGTTTGCGCTCACCACTGCGCAAAGCCACCGCTCACTCCCCATCCCCCACTGCCCCTCCCCCCACCTTCATCCCCCCCCCCCACACTGCCCCTCCCCCCTTCCCCCCTTCCCTCCTCCCCCCTCGGTCAATAAGTTGCCTATGGTCGATAAACTCACTTTTATTACCCATAAAAGGAGATCTGTATTTGGGTAATGTTTCCATCTCACTCCAATTATCTCGATGAACCCAATTTCTGTTCTAAGCCATGCGTGCCCTATGACGTTTCGAGAAATGGCCCTTTTGCAGAGCAGTCGTAACTCATATAGCAGAAACATTATTATCCCACGGAAAAAAAAACTCACCACGGTCAGAGCTGAGCGCTGGCGCAGTGGAACCTTGCAATGCGCTATGACCCTGGCCACCTCAGTTCGATTCCTGAGCAGGGCTAACATCTGAACAGGCGCTGTCGCAGTACACCGCTTCACCAACTCGCCCTGATCAGCGTGGTGAAGTATGGTCAATACACCCCCCCACGACATAAATGCACACGGAGGCCTTCATCCAGCAGTGGATTGACACATTACTGGACATAATGGCTGATACGAGCACTGCTTTATAGAGTTGGCTGACGTTTCGGGCTATAACCTACGGCCAGATCACCCTGAACGCGGCCGACCTCGTCGGATTTTGTACTTGGGCTGCGACGTGGCCGGGAAATGGCAGTTCAGCAATTGGATTATTGAATCCATCTGTGCAGAGTTTTCAGCATTTACTCCCCCCCCCCACCCCTCGTAAGTGTGGCGTGCTTTCTCCAAGCTCTCCGATTTTCTCCCCCAACACGAAACCAAATGTCCCATTAATGGAATTGGCCAAATTTCCCAACATAGGGCGCTGCTGAAAATGAGTCTTGAGACTCAGTTCGGCTCTTCTGGGTACATAAAGAGAGCATTATCACCATCATCATCATCGTCGTCATCATTATCTTCTTCTTTCGCGTTGCAAGTTGAAACGTGCAAAGGTTATCGGTGGATATCGAGGTTATTAAGCCATTCGGTGTAGGCCCCCGTGAAGGCTTGGCACGCATACGTCCAGCAGTGGATTGACAAAACACGAGCCATAATTTAATGAATGTTTTATTTTTGCCACTGAACAATCGTCGTGCGTTCTCTCTCACACTCAATCCGTCGGTCACGCACTTGTACAGCTATCCATGCACGTGGCCTTGGACCGGAGCTGACAAGAGACGGCGCGTGCCCTGTGTATAACCGTACTCTTAGTTTTTTCGGTAAAGTCACGTAGGTAAAAAATTAATTAAATTAATATTCTTTTATTTTTATTAATTTTAATTTCATTTTTTACCTACGTGACTTTACCGAAAAAACTAAGAGTATGAATCCTTGCAGTCACGAAAGCTTCAAATCTAGAATTAATGTGTATAACCGTTTGGAAGGAGTGGGGATATCAAGTAATCCACCCTTGTTATAGCTGTATAAATAAATGGGCACCACTAAAGATGTTGTCACCCACAAACTCGCACAGAGACCCATTAACTCACACACAGAGACTCATGAACTCACGCAGAGACCCACAGACTCACACAGGGAGCAGTAGTCTCACACACAGAGACCCGCAAACTCACACAGAGACCCGCAGACTCACACATACACCAATAGACTCACATAGAGACCCATAGACTCATCACACATATACCCATAGACGTATCACACAGATACCCATAGACTCATCACATAGGGACCCATAGACTCGCACGGAAAACCCGTTAACTCACACAGAGACCCATACACTCACACAGTGGCCCATTAACTCACATAGAGACCCATATAACGGCACACTCACACGGAGACTCAGGCTCAGAGAGAGAGAGGGAGAGCCTTAGACTCAGTATCTCCCACCACCAACTACAGTATTTGGTCTTCTCTTCCCCCCGCCCTTGCACTCGCTCACTCAGTAACAGCGCAGTAACACAGCACATAGCTTTCTTTTCATTTTAATGGGGACCAAAGTCGTAGCATCAGACGGACGAACAGAGCGAGAGAGAGAGAGAGCGCGCGCGATATTTTCCCGTCTGGTTGCATGTAGTCATGTAAACACATAGACAGATACCCACACACACACACATTTATACACCAACACACACACGCACTTGTGCGCACACATACAGACACACGAAGATCTTTACAGACACGCGCGCACACGTATACACAAGCAAAAACACACACACAAGCAAACACACACATACTCACAAGGCAAACACACACACACAAGAAACACACACACGTACTCACAATCACACACACAGGCACAGATGGGCGCACAACGCGCACAACGTGGTTATAGGTGAAGGAAACAAAAACACGGCGTGTTTATGGCGTCTGCATGTGTGTGTGTATTTGCCTTTGTTTGCCTGCCTTTGTCTTTGTGTGTTTGCGTATGTCCGGGTGTACGTATGTACTTAGTCGTGTGTGCACGCCTGTGTGTCTGTATATATAGTGTGTCTCTGTGTTTATGTATGTGTATCTGCATGTGTCGTTAATGTGCTCCTTTGTGTGTTCGCGCGCGCGTGTGTGTGTGTGCATCTCTATCAGCACGTGTGCATCTACGGGGTGTTTAGTTTGTGAGTGTGTCTGTGTGTAGGACTGTGTTTGGTGTGTAGGTTTAGGGGGTCTGTATGTGTCTGTATGTATGTATCGGTATGTGTGCGTGTGTGTGTGTCGACACACCAGTGACGATTATCTGAACTGGTGCTGGGCCTCCCCTAGGTCGACTCAGTCGGAAAAATGAGTACCCGGTACGGTGTGTAAACATCGCAACTGGGGAGACAAATGCGGCCGGGCGTGGTGCTGGCCACCCACCCCCTCGTGTGCCGTGCCGGCCTTTACAGGTGCTCGCTCACAGCACTTGCCCCCAGCAGTCTGTTAAGCCTATACGGGGGATCTTTGTCTTTGTGTACACACGTATATGACTGTGTGGAGTCGAGTGGTTCGATTCCCACTCACGACCAATAACAGCTACAGCGAATATCTGAACCGGTCCTGTATTCGAGTTGCCGTCTATGTAAGTAGGTATACGAATTCAATGTCGAATAACGTCTCATTTTGCGTTTTATTTACAACCTTCAATGTTGAGTGTGTTATTTAATACATATTTTGTCTGGAAATAAAATTATTAAGAGAGATATACTCAGTATCAATAATCACGACGTTACGATGTTTTTTTTTGCACAAAAAAAAAACGGACGATACGATTATCGGTAAACATTTTTTTTATTTATCGTGCCATATATCGTAGTCGTGGAGACCTTTCGCGGCCACCCGAGCCGTCTCCGCGAGTGTTGTGTATCAGTGGTGTAGCGATGGAGTGCGCAGGCGGTGCAACTGCACCTAGGGGCCCGTGGGTTGGGGAAGCCGAGGCGCGTATGTGTGTTTGTCATTGTTGAGTCCGTGGGGAGCGGTGGTGGAGTGGTTAGCGCTACGCTGTGCGACGAACCCGGCGAACCCGAGTTCGATTCTCGCTCACGGCCAACGACACTAGGGGCGATTATCTGAACGGGTCCTGGGCCTCCCCTAGGTCGACTCAACCTCAAATGTGTACCACTCGAGAGACAAAGGCGGCCGGGCGTGGCGCAGGATACCCACCCCCTCGTGTGCCGTGTCCGCCTTCATAGGTGCTCGCTAACGGCACTTGCCCCAATAATCTGTCCAGGCAATACGGGAGGACCTTTGTTTTTGTTTTGATCACAATTCGCCATGAAATAAAATCATGAACGAATCATGAACGTCTTCACTCTATGTCTCTGAAATCGGGTGGTAAATCTGGTTGATGATGGTGATGGTGGTGCTGGTAGTGATGGTATTGGCGACTGTGATGGTGGTGGTGATTTGCGATGGTCACGTTTGTGGTGCTGGTAGTGATGGGAATGCTGATGGCGGTGGTAATTGTGGTGATAATCGCGGTAAAGGATCATTAGCGTGAATGCTGGTGATGGCCGTGTTGACCGTGGTGGCGTTGGTATAGCATGGGTATTGATGGCGACGACGATGATGATGATGAGACGGGGGACATGGGGAGGAAGAGAGACGTGATTAGGAGGGAAGGGGGTCTCAGAAAGGGGGACTGAGCGGGCTCTAACGGAGAGCAGGAGGGAGACAGATGAGTAGGGCGTGGGGCGTGGTGGTGCGGACTCATCTGACGAACAGGATTGCCGCGTGTGTGTGTGTACACGCACGTGCACGTGTGTGTGTATGCTCGTGTGTCTTGGCGCGTGCGCGCGCGCTCAAGGGTAGAGGCAGTCTCGTGTGTCGAGGGTCAGGTAGACCTCCGCCTTGCACTGCAGAGTGGCCGGGAGCTCGGACAGGGGCTCGCAGCTCTGCAGGTACGGGGTCACGTCCTTCACGCAGATGCCCTGCGCGGAGAGAGCGGCACGGGCACACGCACAGGCACACACGCGGTACATACACGTGCAAACAAAGATCCCCTCCCGCGAGTCTTAACGGACTGTTGGGGAAAGTGCTGTAAGCGAGGCCGACGCGACACGCGAGAGGGTGGGTGGCCGGCACCACCGCTCCCCAGGGGCGATGTGGACACTCATTTGAGGCTGAGTCGACCTAGGACCGTTTCAGATTATTGGGATCGTGTAGCACAGCGCACTGAGCGCTACACTACCGCTATTCACCATAGCCACACTGGTATATATCGGTATATGCACGAGGTACACAGGCGTATATACATACAGGTACATACACGCAGGTACATGGGTGCACACACACACGGGTACATATATGACTACATATGTACCCCCGTGTAGCTTTAACAGACTATAGGGTCAAGTGCTGTTAGCGAGCACCTATGAAGGCCGGCACGGCACACGAGGGGGTGGGTGGCCAACACCACGCCCGGCCGCCTTTGTCTTCCCAGTGGTGATGTTTGCATATCGCACCAAGGTACTCATTCTGAGGCTGAGTTGACCTAGGGGAGTCCCAGGACCGGTTCAGATAATCGTCACTGGTGTTGGCCGTGAGCGGGAATCAAACCCGGGTCGCCAGGTCCGTAGCGCAGCGCGCTAGCCACTACACTGCCGCTCGCCATATATATACACACACGGACACATACAGGGGCATACACGGACACACGTATACGCACACGGCTACGTACACAGACGCATGTACGTATACACACAGGCACAAGCAGACATCCGTTCGGCTCTGTGTTTTCACATGCCAGTCAATTAAATACATGAATATACACGTTTAGCCCATGGGCCTATTGGCTTTGCAGACGTGTGTATGTTGAACTTCTTTCGCACCGTACGTAGGCAACGGCGCTGATAGGAGGCCAACATTAACCGGCAGCGCGGTTAGTTTAACCCGAAACCAAACCCGGGACCGCTTTTAAGCCTCTGGGTCTGATCAGCCTTGTGGAACTGCCTGCCAGCGGATCTGAGGGCTTCGCAATCATTAAGCAATCTTTTTAAGTGAAATCTAAAAAGTTACCTTTTATAACTTCAGATTATTTTATAGTGTTAGATTTTTTTTTATATGCCTTCGATAGTAATTTATTATAATGCAATTTAGTTTTGTATGGAAATAGCTTGTATTGTTCTTGCTATTTCGTCTTTTTATAATTTTTCGTTTATCTGCACAGCACTTTGAATGGCATCTTTTACACGAAATAGTGCTCTAGAAATAAAGACACATGTGACACACCTGCATGAACCGACCCACGCCCGCACACACCGACGCACATATGTGCACACATTTGTACACACCTATCCACACCTGTACCCACACCTGTACAAACCGTTCCACGGCTGCACGTATGCCTGTTGAACTTCTTTCGCGCCGTACGTAGCCAACCGTGCTAATCGGATATGCGAGGGAAGGATAATGAACTAAACACAAAAGGCAGTTATTTGTTTAAACACACCTGTTCACACCAACCCACGTCTGTCAACACACGTGTACACAGCGAGCCATGCCTGCATGCACACATACACACGCACACACACACTCGCACACACACACACACCTGTACACAGCGACTCACGCCTGCACACACACACACCTGTACACACACACCTGTACATAGCGACCCACGCTTGTACACACACACCTGTACACACACACACCTGCACACACACACCTGTACACAGCGACCCACGCTTGTACACACACACCTGTACACACACACCTGCACACACACACCTGTACACACACACCTGTACACAGCGACCCACGCCTGCACACACACACACACCTGTACACACGCGCCTGCACACACACACACACCTGTACACACACACACCTACACACACACTCTCACACACACACACGCCTGTACACACCGACCCCACCTGCACACACACTCACCTGCACACACACACACCTGCACACACACCTGTACACACACACACCTGTACACACACACTCTCACAAACACACACTCACCGTGCCGCGCCCAGCGCTGCCCACGCGCTTCGGATGCTGCTGCTGCTGCATCAGCACGGGCAGCAGGAGGTTGCGCATCAGCTCCACGCCGTCAGCGTCCGCGATGCCCCGAGCCGCCACCACCGCCGCCGCCGTTTCCTCGTCATCGTCGGGCACCGTAGCCGCCACCTGCCCCGCCGCGGGACCCGCTCCGTCTCTCGCTTCGCCGTCCGCGGGGAGCAGCGAGCGGCGTGCGAATGGTGAGCGGCGGATGCCGGAGAGAAGCCCCGAGGCGCGTCCCACCGAGTAGTAGCTGGGACCCGTGGCCTGCTTGTACCACGCCTCGGCCGGGTCGGCCACCAGCGTGGCCAGCACCAGGCAGGCGAGAGTGGCCGCTGCGCTAGCAGGCTTCATGCTGTTTCGAGAGATGATGCCGATGGTAGGGTGGTGGTGGTGCTGGTGGTGCTGGTGGTGGTTGATGATGCGACTGCTGCTGCTGCTTGGTGGTGGAGATGATAGCGTCTGCTCGTGGTAGTGGTTGGTGATGGTGGTGGTGGTGCTGATCTCTGTCAGTGGTTGGTGCGAAGTGCTGTGAGCCCCGTGCCTTATAAAGGGGGATTTGAGAAGGGGGGTTGACGTCATGGGCGAGATTGTGAGGGGGGCACGGTGCTCGGCCGCCTTCCCCCTCCTCATCCTCCTACTCATCTTCCTACATTGCTCATCATCATCCTCCTACCTCCTCATCCTACCTCAAAGCCCCCCCCCCCTCCCCCACGCTCCCAATCACTTTAACTTAATTCTCAACATCGTCAGACTCATCCAAGTACTGCATCGTCGTCCTCTTCACCATCATCATCATCGGCATCATTTCCAGCTCATACCTCGCTACTTTCCTCCTACTCGTACACCAACCTCCTCCTCCTCCTCCACCTCCTCCTCCTCATCATCAACTTCATCTCCGTCAGCTCCCCCATCAACTTCATCTCGAGCTTTGCACCTTGCACGCAGCTTTAGTGGACAGCGGGATACGTTTGACTCGCTTCAATCATTCAATTACCCCGTCGTTTAAAAAACACACAACAGACCATACTCTTAGGTTTTTTTCGGTAAAGTCACGTAGCTAAAAAATAAATAATAAATATGATAATAGAAATGAACTAATAAAATAATTATTATTCTTTTATTTCTATAATTTTTTTTATCATTTTAATAAAATATTAAAATAATAATATTTATTTTATTTCTATTATCATTATTTTATCATTTTTTTATTTCACCCCCCCCCCGTCTCCCTCACCACCCCCCGTCTCCCTCACCACCCCCCCGCCTCTCCCCCCCCCCCGTCTCCCTCACCCCCCCCCCCCCGCCTCTCCGCCCCGTCTCCCTCACCACCCCCCCGCCTCTCCCCCCCGTCTCCCTCACCACCCCCCCGCATCTCCCCCCCCGTCTCCCTCACCACCCCCCGCCTCTCCCCCCCCGTCTCCCTCACCACCCCCCCCGCCTCTCCCCCCCCCCGTTGCCAGCCCGAGCCGCTGCGCGTCACCCGTCAGCCAACAACTTCCTCTCATCTTCCCGTCGCTGCGGATCGATCCCAATGAATTATCTTCGGCATCGCCATCCGCGCCGTGAGTGACGTGGCCCCTAATGTAATAGTCGCGCCAGGGCGAGGCGAGTGGGCGAATCGGCGGAGAAAAATTGAAATGTCGACGTCGAGACGGTGGAAGGAAATAAAATAAATAAATGACATCACCCGGCAACAGCAACAACAACAACAGCAGCAGCGTCGTAACAAATCGCAAATAAAGTTTGGAGATCTAAATCAAATTATTAAAACACACATTTTTAACTTGCATAGTGAAGTAATTGTATTTTTTCATTTTTTACAGTCAGCCAGATAATATGACAAATCGTTCGTAAAAGTTGAAGGCGGTATAGTACTATAGTAATAGAGCAAGTGCAGAATCACTGAGCCGGAATTGATAGCTTGAAAGTGCGGGGCCCGTAGCTACTACATGTGTAGCTACCTGGGCTACGAGGATAATCCGGCACTGCCTGCGTGTACTAAGTATTTTAATAACGCATTCTCAATTTGTTCCTGCAAGTATTATTCTTTTGGGACGGCCATAATAATTGCCCTGCCCACTACCCCCCCAACCCACCACCACCCCCGTGCAAGCGTGGCAGCTGCAGCCGAACCCAGCTCCATCGCAACCGAGGACCGATTTTTCGTGCGGCCCGACATGATGATGATGGTAATGATTATGGTAATGATGATGATAGCGATTGCATCGTGTGGGGCAAATAGTTACCATGGAGGCCCTAGCACGGAGGCTCGGGCAGACAGAGACAGAGGTAGAGAGAGAGAGGGGGATATTCGGTGTCCTCGACAGGTGAGTAGGAATACGTCGGAGGGGCGAGAGCGACCTTGAGGCTGTTGCGGGCCGCGCTTGCGGCAGATTTGATGGCGCGCGCGACGCGCTAAACCCACCGGCGAACGGATTTAGCGCGTCGCGCTCGCTCAAAGAAAAAAAACACGGAGTCACGAAGAGGTCACCGAGACCCTGGTGGCACGGGGCCCCCAGCGGGGATGGCAAGGCAGGTGTGTGGGGGGTGTGGGGGGTGTGCGGTGTGGGGGGTGTGTGCGGTGTGTGCGGTGTGGGGGGTGTGTGCGGTGTGGGGGGTGAGGGGGTGACGTGCGGGTGAGGGTGGTCGAGGCTCAAAGAAGGGATGGAGACGAGAGAAGCCGGCAAGCTCGCCAGAACTTTCGAGAACAATACGACATAGGGCGGAAGGCTCGCACGGTGGCTATGATATGTTAACTACCTCGCCTGGTATACAGGATGTCGTGGGTTCGATGCCGACCCTGAGGCCTGCTGCTGTATATTGTTTGCGTGTCTCTCTCTCGTTATCATCACGGTGGCGAGGAGGTATGTTAACTACCTCGCCTGGTATACAGGATGTCGTGGGTTCGATGCCGACCCTGACGCCTGCTGCTGTATATTGTTTGCGTGTCTCTCTCTCTCTCTCATTATCATCACGGTGGCTAGTTGATGTTAACTACCTCGCCTGGTATACAGGATGGCGTGGGTTCGATGCCGACCCTGACGCCTGCTGTATATTGTTTGCGGGTCTCGCTCTCATTATCATCACGGTGGCTAGTAGATGTTAACTACCTCGCCTGGTATACAGGATTGCGTGGGTTCGATCCCGACCCTGACGCCTGCTGCTGTATATTGTTTGCGTGTCTCTATCTCTCATCATCATCATCACGGTGGCTAGGAGATGTTAACTACCTCGCCTGGTATACACGAGGTCGTGGGTTCGATCCCGACCCTGACGCCTGCTGCTGTGTATTTAGAGTCTGCGTGTCTCTCTCTCTCATCATCATCACGGTGGCTAGGAGATGTTAACTACCTCGCCTGGTATACAGGATGGCGTGGGTTCGATCCCGACCCTGACGCCTGCTGCTGTATATTTGGAGTTTGCGTGTCTCTCTATCTCCACGGTCGTGTGGAATTTTCTCCAGGTTTTCTCCTGCACATTTAGAATCAACATGTGTTTAGAATATTTGGCTGCTATGTATTTCCACGTGAAAAGCCATCATCGTTGTTCTATCATTTGTGGCAAGGTCGCTTCATATCTACATATCTCATTGGTGCTTAACCGTTAAACATTTAATTACATACTTTACCCGCAAGTAAAATCCACTAAGTTACGAGCTCTTTTTCAGAGGCCACCTGACTACACATAATAGCTTATTAAAGTGGCTTATATTATTAGTATCATGATCATCAGCAACAATCACACGTGGGAATTTATAGGAGCAGATAAATAAATCTAATGTGGAGGAAGGAAAAACCGGAGGAACCTGGAGAAAAATCCACACGGCCACCACGGGGAGAGAGAGAACACGCGAGCTCCGAATATACAACAGGCATCGTCAGGGTCCGGGATCGAACTCATGTCCTCCTGCGTACCAGGCGAAGGAGAAAACAATCCGGCCATCGGCATTCGTTACCGGGTGGCAGAAATGTATTTGTACCGAGATCTGGTACCGGTATTGTGTTGACGCTTAAATTTGCAATAAACTGCACTTTTTTGCGGGGGGAGGGGGGGGTGGGGAAGAAACTTCTGCTGAGAAATGTTCGGTGTCCGATTAGCACGGTTGCGACGTACGGCGCGAAAAAAGTTCAGCGTACAAATGTAGTGTGCTAATTCACAGACACTAGTAGGAAGTACTCTCTCTCACTTTTATTCCGGCCTTCACAGCCTTAGGGGATAACCACACACCGGGTCGGGACAGCCAACACGCTGCCAGACCCACAGATTGAAGAGGGCGAAGATCACAACGACGACGGCATCACGACGAGTTCAACTCCAGATCGCAGCAGCCCCGACTGTGAGTCGGAGCTCGCCTGTTATCCTCCCCAGCGTGACCAGGCTCTGCCCTCTTCCCCCGCACCCCTCTGGATCCCCCAGAGGAGCTCCGTGCCTTGCCCACAGGTGCAACTGGTGGAACGGGCTGCTACCCATAATTCTATTGTCCACCAATCTCGCAGCGGCACGCGCTACAGTGACTCACTCCATGTCACTACACATACACACAAACCGAGCCTCCTACATCGGAGCATTTGCGGTTAGCAAGCGCTAATTTAAAAAAACAAAACCCGGCGTGGTGGCATTTGGCGTTTGAGCGAGTGGTGGCGGTGATGTGGGGGAAGCAGCGTGCGTGCGCGCGCGCCCAGCCGTCTTTGTCTCCCCGGTAATTGGGCACATTTGATCAAAAGGAAAAAAAAACACCTGACCGCTTGCCCGCGACGCGAACCCAACCGTGGGGCACACGCGCGGTCAATGGCCCGGGTGCCGTGCCAATGAGCCGCGTTCCACTCTTGTCCCGCGGGTGCTACTCACCTGATCCCTCATCCTCAATTGCTCACCTATTTCCTCACCAACTCTCCCCCCCCCAACCGCCGTCCCCCCCTCCCCGCCTCCTCCTCCAGCCCACAGGTGACCGGAGAAACATCGCGATGGCCTTTGCTTGCGGGGCAGACTGATGGCGATTGAGCGCTAAGCCGGTCTGCGGACGGGCGAGAAGATGAACGAGTCACGACCTGGTGTGGCGGGTGGGGGGGGGGAAGTGATGTGAGAGTGAGGAAGATCCAACAATGGACGGGGGTGAGGGGCCGCCGTGATGGCGAGATGTTAACTACCTCGCCTGTCGTACAGGAGGTCGTGGGTTCGATCCCGACCCTGACGATGGCCTGTATATTTGGAGTCCGCGTGTCTCTGTCTCCCCGTGGTAGCGTGGATTTGTCTACGGGTGCCTCAGGGGTTTTCCCTCCACATTTAGAATCAACATCCTACGCGTTTAGATTATTTGGCTGCTGTACATTTGCACGTGATAAAGCCTCGTCGTCGAGCGATTATTTGTGACCAGGTTGCTTCTGAAAAAGAGCTCTATAGCTCGGTGTGCCTTACCTGGCAAAATAAAATATAGTTTAGTTAAAAGTTGGCAGCCCTGGCGATAGTAAAGTACTGTTCGCGGTGTACCAGCTTGCGCCGGCCG